GATACACAAGACAAACTAGCAAAGTTATTAAACACAAGATCAAGACAGCAGTTTGCAAACACAGTAGCAATAATGGCTTGGGACACATTTTACAAACAAGTATGAAAAATACGTTGTGAGAAAATCATCGAATGGGAGAAAAAAGTTGGAATAACAGAAAAAAGTAAAAAAAAAAAGATGAAAGTCAAAAGAAAGCAGGAGGAAAAAAGAAGGCAGACCGAGAAAAAGCAGAAAAGAAGAAAGAAGAAATAAGAGAAAAAGGAAAAAAGTTGAAAAAGAAGCAATGAAGACAATTTTGGGGCTTGTCATGGAAGGGAGAAGACCCTTTCATTATAGACTTTAAGTAGTCAGACAAGTAGCTTACTTCTGTTTGAAGTAATGCAGCAGGTTGCACTTAGATATCATTAAGGTGGCCAGGTGATACTAGACTTAGATATTAGAGATATATATGTAGTTACAAATGTAATTTCAAAAACTCAATAAAGTACTAATATGACTGCTTATAAGTTAAAAAAAAAATAAAAAAATAAAAAAAAAAATAAAGACTTACTACAATTGTTTTTTGAGGATTTCTTTTTTGAATTTCTTCTAATTATTCTGATTGCTTTGGGCATAAAAAAAAGTCTATCAAATATTTTGCATGAATTATTAATGTTTTTATAGGTAATAAAGCCTTTCCAATTACTAACTGTAATGTGTGTGTACTACATTCTTGTCATAAAACTTTATTCATTTTGGCTACTGATTTTTTTATATTTTAGGCATTGTTAGTAGTAATAGAATATACTTTGCCTATTAAGTTCCAATATCAAATAATGTTTTCTACAGTTTTATAAATATTATTGGCTGTGTAAGGGTACTGAACATGTTGTATAGTAAGAGTCACCTTATTCAAATGAAATTGTTAATCTATATATAAACACATGACTTCAAGAAATTCTTGCCGATTTTTGGCCATTCAAATATCCATTGTTAAAGATACTTTAATAGCATGTTCTTTAAAATGATTACATAATAGTGGCACACAGTAGTTATAAGCATGATGAATAATTTGTTTAACTAGTTTAACATCAGAAATAGTAAATGCTAAATCTAATTTGTTTATAAATTGTCAAAATAAAAGATGCTGAACAATAATTAATAATTATGAATCAGCAACAAGCCAATCAACAAGCATGTTTTATAATTTTTGTTATATTTTTTTATTATGTGGTTGGGCAGAAAGTGCTGAATATAACAGATATGCTGGCTATTATTTAATCAAAATTTGTTAAATAAATATTAAATTTATATACATTATAATTTTAATTGTATTACATAGCAACCTTTTTTGGATGTGAATTATTTTTTGTAACTTCATGATCTGCCAATAGGTGCCCAATAAGATTACTCATTGAAGATTCAATTCTATATGTTCATCCACATTCTATTCCAATTAAGATTTCAATTTTACAAATAGTATATCTGCCCTACTATTCATCATCTTTTTTACAGATTTCTAGACAAAAAAATTCCCAGACCCAGCTACTTTTATTTGATAGATCAAGTTGAAAAACTGTACCAACAGAAGCTTCATCTTGAGAATCTTGAATAGTGATGCTATTAGTTGTTTTGTGCTTTCTTTTTTTAGTAGTTCTGTGCATTATTATACATATAAGAGATCAAAGCAAAGTAATTTTAAGTTGATTATAAGTTGATTTATTTTAATATTAGCAATTTAATTATTTAATAAATAAATATAACATCATGCACATAAACTTTAACAGATAATGTATACTTGTTAGCAGATATTTGTCAAATAACAGATATTTGTCAGATAATCTGGATAAATCTAACACAGATCAGCTCCTAAATAGACTATCTGTTATTTGTAAAGGATCAGATTTTGAAGCAGATATCCAGATTAACAGATTTCAAATCACACCACTAGATTAAAGCCTATTTTAATATATCTTTTACTTTGTATTTCTTGTTTTATGTTTTTGATTCTTAATACATCATGTTTTTTACTATTTATTTTTAATTTTTCTTGCTTTCTGTCTTTTGGTTTTTCTCTTTTTACTTTTTTTTCTTTTTTTTAGAATTTTTTTAGTTTATTTGTAATTATTATACTCTATTAGTATTGTCTAAGCTTCTTCTGTTGCTTAAGTATTTGCAAAAGTAATTATTGCAAATTTCTTTTAGTTATTATTTTTGTTGTATAGAATGTATATTGCTTTTGCTTCTTTGCTTTTTAAACACTATAGCAAGACACTTTTAAGACTTTTTTTAAAATATTTAGTAGTTTAGTCATATACTGTTCTTGTTTGTTTTTTTGAAAATAGTCTTCATCTTTTTCTGTTATACATACTAATTTATTATTTCCAAGTAGCAATACTTATGGAATATTTCCTTCTTTATTTAAATTTACTACTATTACTGCCAATGCTTTGTATAATTATTTTTTGACTCATATTATGTTTGTGCTTTTAAACTTTTTGCACATATACCTTATTTTTTTTATTAATATTTAGTAGCAAATTCCATATTGTTAATTATCTTTGCTCATGCTGTTCTTTTTTTTTTCTTTTTGTTTAAGTTTTTTTTTAAAGAGTTTTTCTTTATAGAATTTTATTTTTTTTATTTTTTTTTACTTTTATTATTTTTTTAGTTTTCTTTATTATTTTTTTTATTTTCTTTTATATTTTTTGTCTTATTTGATATCATCTTTCATATTTTTAATCTAAATAGTTAATTGTATTTTTTTTTCTTATAATCAAACTGTATTTCTGTCTAATTATTGCCTCTTCTAAATACTTTTTCTATATTTGTAATATGTTTTTTTATATTTAATCCCTATTTGACTATACTAATTCTTTTTTTTTGTTTTGTCTAAAACATTATATAATGAAATCCTTGTACTGGTTAGTGTTTCATTTTTATATGATCTGTTTTATATTTCTTTTTCTATTTTGTATCTTTTTTTTAAAAAAAAATATTGAGTTTTGTTTTAATACTTTCTTATTTATTTTTATTTCTTTAGCTTTTTATGTTTAGATTATTCTTTTTAAAGTTTTTTTTATAATTAAGTCTTCTATCTATATTATAAATTTTTTGGTTTTTGTACTTGTATTGTTATTTGTTTATCTATTTTGCTTGATTTTTTTTTTTTTTTTAAATATTAAGGTGAGTACTTGCAACTTAGGATTTTATTAATAGTATATTTGGCTAATGGTTGCATTACAACTACAGGGGGCAACCATAGGAAGAGTGTACAACTAGCCACTCATACAACTTTAGTCATTGTCTAATTTAAGTAGTCCACCCGAAGGTTCTACACT